ACCCAATACACCATGTAGGGTGAGCAAACGCCAAAAACACCCTGTAGGGAGAATCAGTACACAAACATTGCTGTTAGTGTATAATCAACTTGACTAGTATGCTGTGTTCATCTCCAATTGTGGTCATGTATCAAGTAATCAGGTAGTGTCAGATTGTCACCTTGATTATGGATAATTATCATCACATTTACAATACATTACCACAGCATACACTGCCACTGTGTATCAAATATTTGACTGATTGTTCAATTGGTCGTGTTTTGGATCACTCGGACACAACAGCATCCAACAGTCTGTTGTTGCAGTATTTCAAAACCATGACTTTTCCATTGGTATGACTACAGTCATTTTAGATTAATGTAGACTGTACACATCAAACATTGCTGATTATGTCACAACATGATCAACATCAAACTCGGCAAGCTGTCGTTGATACACCGAATGAGTGACGTTGTACTATAATTGAATTGGAGATTGGCAGGTCGTTCAACAAACTGGCCGTGTCAACAGATCGGATTGTCATCGTGTAAATGAACCACAATGGATGATCATGCCATTCAAATCAGCACACAATCTACTGATATATGCAATACAACACCACCAATACAATACAAATCAAACCCAATCACAAACATGGTGTTGAATCCAATGCATGCGAGTACTTTTTAAACACATGATACACACTGATGGTGATGGTTGCTGACAGTCACATTGCAGTGTACATGTCCACCAGTGTCCACTGTCATGTCGATTGTTGCTATCCGTGACATCCAACTGTACTTGTATTCACCAAATGTGCACAACATCTAGGGCTGACTGCCAGATGCTCTCATGTTTGGCATACAACCAGTCACCATCAGACCAAGCGTATACGCTAGTACAGCGCCATGAATCTACTGGCAAGTGGTTTCAATTTTATTCTGGCACGTTGAGGGTTGGATGTGTACTAGACACAATGTTGCGGATATAACTGAACTACAACAGGGTGATATCATGCATAATTGTACGGTCTGGATATGTTTGGTAGATATGCAACCATATATATGACAGCCCAATCCGTCCTTTATCACGGGTTGGTTTTAGAAATGTCTGTTATTTTGGTTGATACATGTTTCTTGCATAGATTGGCAGTATTGTGTGTATTTAGTTTGATTACATTATAGACAGTCTGGTTGATTACCCATTCACTGCTAATAACCCGTTTGTACAACATAATCGATCATTTGCTCAGTATCGAGTATTTCTAAATACAAACTTGAATGAAAAGTCTTGTCACAATACTGATCAACTGTATTACTGTTTACACTGTGGTATTATTGATGTATTGGAATGTTTGGTGTTCAGATACACAATGATAATGGTAGTACAAATCATGGCAGTTGTACAAACCAAATGTGATTAAAGCCAATAATAATATCAGACAAGATTGGATAATGAATTAGCGTGTAAATCATCAACATTGACCAAGATTGATTGAAATGGTGAGATTGGGTTGGATGGTGATGAACACAACAAATGTGCAGAGTTGTATGGACAACATTGACAGTCAAACACAATACATGAATGTGGATTCAAACTTGGTGACCATACAATGTATGATTACTAAGAGTGCACAAAGTGTAGATTCAACACTATAGTCTGATTGTGTGTCATATGATGGTTGTTGTATTTGGAACAATCAATGCAGTCAATGTGTAGTAACCATTGTATATTGCAATGCAGAATACAGTTGTTGCACAATGAATACTAAAGTGATCTATTTGACATGAATACAGTTGTAAAACAAAGCGTTTGCGGTTACACAACACACTCATGAAGGGTGTGCTTTTCAATATACCTGATCAAAGGGTCGTAAAAGCATAATTCAATCGATATGATCATCAAATTGATCAATATGATATTGTGATTAGGGAGTAACATACTATCTAGTTTGATATTGGCTCACTACAAGCAATCAAGTAACCCTGTGCCATTGGTTAACCTAAAAGGGTTAGGGTTGGTTTGCTATACAAAACATATAAATACAATCGATTGCGTTCAACTTTATAATCGACACTCTACTTTTGTATTAATAGTTTAAACCCATTGACCAATCTGATGAAATTGGTTGATATTTTACTTGTACTGATTTCTGCAGCAACCACTAATGCAATACTGACACCGACTGATAATAATGGTTCACTCCAAGCATCAGGCACTTCTAGTCAAGTATCTGGTCCAACCAATGAACCTGATCCAGGCACTTTGGACGACTTGCAAAGTATAGTGGATGCAGTTAAGTTAAGCATTTTCGACGAAGACTGGCAAAACATATTTGATCCGATTGATTCAGACCAAGATTGGCAAAATACAGTAGATCAACCCAGTTCAAGCACTTCTAGTCAAGTATCTGGCCCAACTAATGAGCTTATTCTAGAGATTCCCGACCAAAACTGGCAAGACATAATGGATGAACTTGATTCAAGCATTTTCGACGAAAACTGGCGAAACATATTAGATCCAATTGATCCAAGTACTTACAATGAAGACTGGCAGAATATAGTGAATCAGCCCATCCCAAATACTCCCAGTCAAGTTTCTGACCCAATTGATCAAGTCGATTCAAACACTTTTGAAAAAGACCAACAACAACCAGCTGATCAACCCAGTTCAAGTATCCCCGACCAAACCCAGCAACACCTAATGGATGCAACTGATTTAAATATTTCCGACAAAGATCAGCAACAGCCGATTGATCAGCCCAGTCCAAGCACTTCCAAGCAAAGTCGGAAACGACGAATCAATGAAATTAGGCCAAGTACTTCCAGTCAAGCGCCTGGTTCAACTAATGAACCCAATCCAAGTACTTCTGGCAAATATTGGATACCACTATTTATTATAATTAATCCAAATATTCCCAGTCAAGACCCAATTAATGAACCCAGTCCAAGTACTTCCAAACGAAGTCGGAAACGACGAATTGATCAACCCAGTACAAGTACTTCCAGTCAAGACCAACAACAACCAATGAAACAAGGCAAGTCTGCTAATACTGTTACAAATCAAATAGCTGGATTAAGCGAAAGATATCAAAGAACCTTTAATCGTATAAACCAAAGACTTGTAGAGTCTGAAATAATACAAAACAACAAACGCAAAGAATGTCGTGAATATGACGCCCTTAGATTCGAACAATGGTCAGCGTTATCAATGGGAGAAGATATATCAGGATCAAAATACGATCCAAAAGTTGAAAAGAAATTGAAAGAAGAGTATAAGAAGATAAGCAGAAGAGTACATGATGTCAAATATGAATTAAAACAGTTTATGAAAAGGCATGGTTTGAGATTCGAAGAACCGAATTAGGATTCAGATTGATGATTTGTCAATGAATTTGATTTTGAATAAATTTAAACTTTCTGATATGTTGATATTTGTCGAGTATTGTGAATGGGTCAACAATCATATCATTGGTTGTATACTGCATGTTTGGTATTACATCAACAGTTACTGGATTGTTGATTGATACATTGACACGGTTTGTTCCATATACATTAATGACATGATAACAACCAGTGTTGATTGTAACTATCAGCCATACTTACAATCATTTGTCAGTTGTGTGGTTGCATGATACCACCAACTGACCATGTCGTGTATTGTACAACAAACGGAGCAATACACTTGTTCAAAGTCTGTCACAAGCAAAAGGTGTTTGTCATGTCACTGTCAATGTTGGAAATCACAACAGACAATGTTTGATTGAAGGATTCAACACGCCATTACAAAACATCATTGCCTTTTATCAAGAATATACTAAAACTAACCAATACGTTAATGCCTTGCAATATATTGTGTTTGACTACAATCACATCCATCATTGTGCAGTTGGTGATATTGCTGAATCAAGATATGAAAGTGATCCATCAAGTGGTTCAATTAAAACAAACACTGCAAACCATTCAATCAATGTTGGAAATTGTGTTGGAATATTGAATGGACAAACCTTTGAGTAAAATACAAGTCAATATACAGTAATTCTGTGTATACTATGTATACTGTGGTTAGTGGAAATGATTACTCGTATCCAATTTCAGATGATGATCAAATAATTCAGACTTGCAAGTATTATGAATTTGAACACATCCAAATTGCTGAAACGTCTGTTACTGAATCTAGAAACCCAGATCCAACAATGTCAAATAAGCAGCGTCAAAACAGAAATCAATTGGATGCATTATCAACAATTAGTGAACCTGAAAACAACAAAACATACGACATACGACATATGACAGGACATTTCAAACAACTTGTTTTCTAGAGCAACTATAAATGCCATTCATTGACTCGATCAAAAACTACAACAATTACTTGCAATGCATTCAAATTGGCATCCATATTTGACATACATATCCAGTTCAACAACAGGGAGCGTCAAACAAGTGGTATCATGATTACTATTCACAAAACAAGCAAATCGGACAACAGCGCTGTCGCAACTATTATGCTTCAAACTCGGAATCAGAAACGATGCAACTGAAAAAAGTACACAAAGTCGACGAGTATAGTTTATTGAATCATTCAACACCAATATCGTGTACTTGAAAATCAATGACATCAATTCCACCATCTACCAGAAACATGTTTGTTGCGGTGTGTTATTTGATGTGAATTTTGCACCAGTATGTTCATGTCTGATACAATTCATGGCTGTTATTGGACTTTGTACGACTGAACCATTGTTCAAATGTGATGATGTTTATGCCACTGTTGTAAATCGAATGGGTGCATATTGAAATACACGATATTGTTGTAATAGATTGTAGTATGTCTTGTATGCAAAATACGACAATCTCTCGAGTTTGAATTCATTGTAAATATACACCAGACATTCATCAAACTGAACCTTTTAGTATTTTTGCTTGCTTGAAATAGCTCCAGCAAACAAACAAGCGTTTATGCAATGCACATTGTGTATGCTACACCAACAACATCATTGATGGTCAATACACACAAGTATTGTTGATGTACACTTTGAGTTCCAAGACTGTATTTTTTGTAGCGGGAAAGTCGTTGGAAAGCTGCACATTGAATTGAACTGTTTTGAGTTCCACTTTAAACATCTGTTCAGCAATCGGTTCATACTTTTGACAAACTCATGTATGAATGATGATTTATCAGTGTTTTTATCAAGACACGGTAAATTGGTTCATGATCAATGATTTGAGTTGGTTCCAATGTTACTGCATTGATGACATTGAGTGCATCTGAAATAGCAACATCATCACTTGATTCGTAGGTGCTGGCCATTCTTTATAGCTAT